TGACATTGTAACTGCCTCAGCTGACCCCATGGCACTGGTGGTCTGCTGAGGTGACCTGTGGTACTGGCGGCCTGCTGTGTTCCCTGGTGCTGTTCTCAGGGCTCATCACCAGCCGTACTAACCTTGTCTGACTGCAGATTTGGGGATTTTTCTGTTTTGTCACATTTCAGCCTCACTGCAGGTGAGTTAAAGGCCCACACTTGGTTTATGTGGTGTGGGGTCTCGTGTGCTAGGTAAGCACTCCATTACTGAGCTACATCCCCTGCAGGTGAGTTAAAGGCCCACACTTGGTTTATGTGGTGTGGGGTCTCGTGTGCTAGGTAAGCACTCCATTACTGAGCTACATCCCCTGCAGGTGAGTTAAAGGCCCACACTTGGTTTATGTGGTGTGGGATCTCGTGTGCTAGGTAAGCACTCCATTACTGAGTTACATCCCCTGCAGGTGAGTTAAAGGCCCACACTTGGTTTATGTGGTGTGGGATCTCGTGTGCTAGGTAAGCACTCCATTACTGAGTTACATCCCCTGCAGGTGAGTTAAAGGCCCACACTTGGTTTATGTGGTGTGGGGTCTCATGTGCTAGGTAAGCACTCCATTACTGAGTTACAGCCCTGGCCCTTTAAAGGTCTGCACTTGGAAGCAACTGCTGCCCGCTTGCTGTATGAATGGACAGCTGTTCATCCTACTGGGAGTGGATTTCGAGCATCTGTCCACCTTTCAATGTGATGGTGTGACTGTCATGACCTCACATCTCCCTACAGGGTTGGTGTATGTGTTTGTGTGCCTTTACTACCCGAGCTGTAACCCCGCCCACCTCATCTTTGTATTGCTTAAAGCCCATGGGATTATCTGTAGAAAGAAGTCAGAATTTTTAAAAGTATCATCTTTGAGGCTCCCCTGTTTGGACACTCTAATTCTGTTTGTTAAGTGAAAATACAGCTTTTCACAAGAGGTGGGTAAATTCAGTTTTTGTTATGCCCCTTTTAATAATTGCTGTTGCTGCTCAGGTGCCCCCCCCCCCAGCTTTATGGCCACCTGCTGGTCTTGCTGACTTGTTCTCATCTTTCCTCTCCTCCCCTCTTCTCTTCGTGGCAGTGTAGAATGGTGGTGGCATCAAGCCTTCAGATGAGGGCTGCATAGCTCTGCTGGGCTTGGCTCTGGTGCCTCATGTAGTGGTCCTTGGACCTCAGTGGTTCAAGCTAGCCATGTGCCTGTTGGGTAGCAGGTGTTGAGGGATAGCGTAGGCTCATCAGCCAGGACCATGCCCAGTGGTAGCCATTCTCCCAGGAGGCTGGAGTAGCTTTACAGGGCCGAGTTGCTGAGGACAGGCTCTACTTGCTGTCGGAGCACCTGTCAGACTTTCACTTGTCTCCCATTTGTGGATGTGCCAATAGCCAAAACAGAAAACAAAACAGAACACAACTAAGGCCATAGTCAATGTGTGGGTATGTGTCGATATCTCGAGGCCTGATGGGGATTGTCAGTGATTTACAGTGGTGGGTTGGGTGGGTTGGAGTTTGGGGTATCTGCTCTGCAGCTGTATGAAAAGGACTAGTTTTCCTTCTGTAGTTTATCATTTTTTGGTTTTTGTTAAACATTTAAAAATTTTTAAGGGGCTGGAAAGATGACTCAGTGGTTAAGAGCACTGGCTGTTCTTTCAGAAGACCCAGGTTCAAATCCTAGCACTCACATGGCAACTAACAACCATCCATAATTTCAGTTCTAGGGGTATCCAGAGACGCCCTTTTCTGTCTCCATGGGCATTGCACAACACCGGTATACTCACATATATGCAGGCAATATACTCATACACATAAAATAAAAATACATTTAATTTTTTAAATTAAATTTATTTTTATGCATGTTATGTGTGTCTCTCTGTATATGTGTGCACATGGGTACAGGTGTCCACAGAGGCCAGAGGCATTGGATCCCTTGAAGCTGAGTTGCAGGCAGTTTTGCGCTGCCCGGTGTGGGAACCAAACTCAGATCCCCTGCAAGAGCAGTACGTGCTCTTAGCTGCTGAGCCCTCTCTCCAGCCTCTGTTGAACATTATTTAGTGCTAGTGCCAGGGAATCAGAAAATCAACAGTTTAGCTGCTGCCTAGCTCCTTTGTAGAATAGTGTGGTCTCTTATTCTGGGTACAAAACAGTCTGGTAAACCTTGTTAAAGATTTTGGGTGAAAAGGACAGGAACTGCTTAAGAATCTGCGTTGGGCCTGATTTTGGTTTTAGAAAAATGCTGATAGGTTCTTATGAAAAATTGGTTGCTATGATGACTTGGCTTTGAGCCTGCAAAGTGGTGACGACATGGTCACCAAGGAAACTGAAAGATGCAGTATCTGTGAGGCCTCTGAAGGGTTTTGTTGCTGTTGTCTAGAGTCTGATTGGCTTAGAGAAGTGGCGTCTGAGATCAGACACCAGAGGCACATGGTCCTCTGGAAACTTCTAGGATCAGGTCAGGCTGTGCAAATCTCCCTTTGGGCCTTGATTTTTTTTTTTTAAAAAAAGGGGAGATTTTGGGCAATCTTTGGGTTATTGTGAGGTTTGGCTCTGATATTTATGCTAGTGAAAAACAGGAAATGAAGTAATATCTTGAAGCATGTAGTGTTTAAAAGAACTGTAAATGTCTAAATATGGGCAGCTATGCCATTCATCCACACATAGTTCCTGTGCTGACGTTAAGTGTCATGTGCTTTCCCTGGCGGCTTCTTTGATCCCTAGAGGTTCAGGGCAGTCTAAACAACCAGCAACCTGGGCTCTCTCTGTTGAGGTGGAGACCAGGGCATTCTGTTGCAAGTGCTGTTGGAAGAGCTGGCTACAGACCCTGCAGCTCAGGCTGAGACAGAGCTGAGTAGGAACCGGCCACAGCATGCCTACCCAGAGCTGCTCACTCCTGTATCACAGGGCAGTGACTTGTTCTCTTGGTAAAATAAAATCACTTCATTTTTGAATTCCCTATTGCAGAGGTCTAAATACAATGATTGTTTTGAGTTTTAACTATGATACATGTGTATGTATGGAGAATGAAAAACGGTTGGATAATACTTAAAGGAACTTGTAATTTTTAAGTCTTTGTGTGATAACAGTTTAGGACATGCCATTTCTAAGGCACACTGGCTGGCTGACTGACATCTGTGGTGCAGAGTGGAGAAGGCTGAGATGAGAACTTCTGGGCAGGAAGGAGTAACTTCTAAAGTCACTCTGAAGGTTATTCTGGTGGCCTGGAATTTGGCTGCTTACCAGCATCTCATGTCAGCCTTCAAATAAGAGTGTGCGGTCCAGGCTCCTAGTGCTCCTTCCCTAGAGGGTCCTCAGGAAGGGAAGAGCCAGGCAGCAGCCACAGAGCACAGCACAGCCACTTGGCTCAGTGTTGGGTTTACAGAACACTTCCATTCGGAACTCACAAAGATCCACCTGCCTCTGCCTACTGAGTGCTAGGGTTAAAGGTGTGCGCCACCACGCCCAGCCGGGAATCTGTGTTTTATAGTTGATAGACCAGTCAGCTAATAGTTAACTTAATCAATGAAAACTTGGGGCTGGTTCCACAGTGGAAGGATTGTGTCATATAGGGAACAACCTCAATATTTGTTACTTTCCTTAGAAAAGTCCTACACTGGCTGCTCTTACAGAGATCCCAGGTTTGATTCCCAGCACCCACATGGCAATTAACAACCATCTGTAACTCCAGTTCTAGGTGATCCGATGCTCTCTTCTGACTCCACAGGTATTGCATGACGTGGGTATACTTATACACATGTAGGCAGTACACTCACACACACACACAAAGTCCTAATAGATTGCAAACATGAAATGGTTTGACCTTGTTCCACAGCGAGGCGAGCAGCAAGCAGCTCCATTCGCCAGCACCTCTTCCCCTGGGCAGGCAGATCCTCTGTCGGCCTCACTTTTTGGTCTCTCAACTGATTTCTTAAGGTCACGGGCACCTTGGGAACTTCAGTGGAAGCTATGACACCCTCATACACACACCTCCAAAAATGGCTGTGTGCATTTACAGAGTTTCACACATTTTCGGAGATAACTACAGGATTCTATTTACTTCTTGTGTCCCATCCTAGAAAATTACTTTTGATGACCTAATTCTAAATGAGGAAGGAAAAAGGTTAGGCTGTAGATAAAGGTTTTCAGTGTGTGCTGGTGAGCGTGTGGCAGCTGGGATGTCATGTTCTGCTGTCTGGGACGTGGTACAAACCCTCCTGCAGCATGTGCTGGGTGCTTTGCAGGACTCCTCCTTTTGGTTGGTTTGCTTTGAGACAAAATCATGTAGCCCAGGCTGGCCTTGACCTTGGGGTCTTCTGTCTATACTGGGATCGCAGGTGCTTGCTGCTTATGTTCTTTAACTCTGAAGTTCTGCTGTTCGGAACCCTCCCAGAGGACCGGTCGCAGTGTTGAAAGAAAGCTCAGCGCTTGCTTTTTACCACACTCTTAGCGGCTCGCTTCAGGGTATCGGCAAAGTTGGTGTATCAGTGCACTGGGATCTCACGTGTGTGGGAATAGTGTCCAGTGACATAAGGAACTGCTCTATTGTAGTGCATGGAAAGATAGGAGATATACTGGTTCTTAAGTGACATGAAAAGTTCAGTGAAAAGTCTGGAGGGAGATGGGCAAATGATGAGGCGATGCTCAGAAGGACTGTCGGGCCTTCATACTGTCTGTGTGTTTCCTTGTTTATACTAAGTATCAAGGGAAGAGGTGATCTGGGGAAACCCTAGATTGTTTTGTCTTAAAAGTGACATTCCCAGTGTAAACACCCACAGTGTGGAGCCCACCAGCCCTGATGCCCAGTCTGGGCTGCTGTGTGAAAGTTTTCTTTTCTGTCTGGCACAAGACACTGGAACACTTGATAGCGAACCACAGGCGGTTACAGCAGTGGGTAGGAACTGTTTGGATGTATCTTTTCACATAGGATATTTTTCAGGTATTCTAATTTCCATGGTGATTCAGGACCTTTGATTTCAACCCCATCCTTCCCTCTCTTCTAGGTGCTAGAAGTTAAAGAACTTTTGTCTGGGAATAGAAGTTGGTTGGACTCGTGTTTCTCTTTAGGATTCACAGATGGAGTCAGTGGAAAAGACCACGAACAGAAGTGAGCAGAAGTCAAGGTAAAGTCAATTCCATCCAGGCAGGTTCTTGTAGCACTTGTCAAAGGGGAATGCAAACACTTACTGGGTCAGGAGGGAGCCCAGGGCCACTCAGCATGGTTAACTTCAACATAGGAAGCATTCCAGAAGGCAGCTTTCTGCCCAAGAAGCCCATCGAGCCCCATTCCCAAATGAGGCAGCATGGCGGTTAGGTGACTGCCCGACTGCATGACTCCATAGGCTTTGTCTGGTAATGTGGAGAAGGAGCAAGTAGTGAGCAGGGAGAAGGGCCAGGACCATATTTGACCTGAGCGTCATAGCTGCTTCTAGATGGAGGCTGGCAAGACTGCCACGTTGACTTCCCCTCCCTTGTTTTAAATAGGAAGTTTTTAAAAAGCCTCATCAGGAAGCAGCCCCAGGACCTGCTGCTGGTCATCGGGACTGGCGTGAGTGCGGCCGTGGCCCCAGGAATCCCCGCGCTCTGCTCCTGGAGGGGCTGCATCGAGGCTGTCATCGAGGCTGCGGAGCAGCTGGAGGTGCTACACCCCGGGGACGTGGCCGAATTCCGCAGGAAGGCGATGAAGGACCGGGACCTGCTGGTTGTGGCCCATGATCTGATCCGGAAGATGTCACCTGTGAGTCTCAGACACTTGAGGTTTCACAGGGCTGGCTTTGGGTTTTGGGTTGGGTTGAGGATGAGTGCAAACCAGGCACTGGGTCTCCGTGAGCAGAGGAGATGTTCATTTCCCAGTGGTTTTCAGCCCGTAGGGCATGCCACCTTTTCAAACCAGATAGCAGGGGCAGCCTAGGGATCATAGGCCAGCCTGTGGTAACCGCCCCACATCCAGCTGGGCTGGTTCTGGATGTTGTCAAGCTGCAGTTTTTGGTGTGAAGTTTTTGATTTTGTATCATTTGCTGCCTCGAGTATATTTTGTTGTGTGAAGGGCAGTCGCATCTCTTCAAATACCAGGTGGTTCCCAGGAGACATTTTAGGATGGAGGAGGCCCAGCATTTGCAGGTAGGAGTGACATGGTACAGGGAAGCACAGTTGAGGGTGCAGGGATGGTTACCCAGAGCCCACAGCCAGATTGTGGGTGGTTGTGCTGTCTGGGCACAGATGCCGAGCAGCCCCCTGGGAGACGTGCAGGCAGGCGGCTTCTCACTGCCATCTTGGGATTTGTGCAGTCAGCCTCTCAAAGGAAGACCATAAATGTTTGGCAGGAAGCGCAGGAGAGGTTTACGGTCCAAAGAGATCCAAAATGGAGAAATGTCAGTGTGATGGTGACTCCCAGTCTCACATGGAAACTTGGGCAGCAGCTGTGGGAGCGAGACCATCATCCTTGCCCTCCAGGGCTTCCTGCGCTATCACCTGTCAACCTGCGTCTGTTTTCACCCTGGGCTGTACCTCATCTGCACCATGCGTGGAGGAGGTGTTTTTAGTTAGGCTGTTCGTGTCAAATGTGGGTGTTCTGTTAGTCGGAGACGGCTGGGCCACACCCTGCCTGCTGCTCCTTGTTGAAACCTTCTGTTGGCTCGAGGCCACACCCTTTTGCTGACATGTTATCTGTGACCACCTACCTGCTCCAGTGACCAGGTTGAGTAGTTGCAGTAGATACTCTGGCCATAGGCATGCCGTACTTAATTTACTCTCTGGCCCTTGGTAGACAAAGGGCCCTGATCCCCTGTACAGGAAGAAACAGGGGGGTGAACCCTCAGGCCAGGGAAACTGGGGGATGGTTGGGCAGCACCAAGGCTGGTGTGTGGACCATTAGTGGTCGAGAGGTAAATGCTGGGGCACTATCTGTCCCTTCTCTCCCCTGAGCAGTTTCTTTCTAAACTTCCCTGAGGAAGAATCAGGTGAGTTTGGTCAGCAGTGTCTCATGCCATTCTCAGGTTTAGAGCAGGTCTGGAGGAGACCCAGTTGGTTTCATCAGGGAGTTCAGGTACCATGGATAAGGGCATGGCTAGCAGGCAGGAAAGCAGCTGTAGTGATGTTGGTCCCCACTGCCCCCCAGGAGAAGGAGGGACCTGAGGGCAGTGTGCTCCGTGGCTTATCTTGGCTATGGGGCTCTTTAGGTGGTTCTGGTAGTGAGGCTGGGTAAGGCAGAGTGCTGCTACAGGCAGCCTAGGTGATGGCTGGTCTCCTGGGGAGCATGTGGCTTCCTAACCCCCATGTCCATCCAACTCCACCTCGTTCCTCTGCCTCTTTCAGCAGAGCTGGTGCTTGCCAGATGTTCTTTTCTCACACGCTATTCCCCACGGCCTCCCTAGCTCCTCACCCTGTTCTCTTCCTGAACCTCAGCAGTTCATGAAAAACTGTCTTTGCATTTCTAAGATGCCTCTTGGACCATTTCATAGTCCACCAGAGGCAGCCAGCACCTGTACAGCAGTCAGAGAATGCTGGACTCCCCATGAGGCTCTTCACAGCTCCCCATGACCTGGTTCTGGGTCACGTATTGGACCTGCGCTGCTAATATTCCCCCCTCGCTACTTCCACACAGGCTTGTTTCTAGCCTCTGGACGCACTTTCATATTACCCCAGTGCCTCTGTGCTCGCTTCTCTCTGCTTGCAACACTCTGGGAGAACCCTCGCTCCTTCAGGTTTCTTCCCAGATGTGTTTTCAGAGGAGCCCTTGGGGCCCCTGACTGCCCCTTGCCCCAGTACCCACCGTCTCTCTTCTGCCTTCTTTTCTTGTGCCGATCATTGCTGCGATGCACCAGGCATCTGCACTTGAACCTCCCTCCTCCTCTGGGGCTTTGTTCTTTCATTTGGTAAAGTGCTGTCTCTCCGCACTCACAGGTCACAGCAGTTGTCTCTGCTCTGGTGTTCCTGACTCTCGATTCTCCTCTCCATAGCGCACAGGTGACACCAAGCCCAACTTCTTCCAGGATTGCCTAATGGAAGTTTTTGACAGCCTGGAGCAGCACATCCAGAACCCTGTGGTGCTGCAGTCCATCCTCAGCCTGATGGACAGGGGCACCTTGGTGCTGACCACTAACTATGACAACCTGCTGGAGATCTTTGGACAGCAGCAGAACAAGCCCATGGAGTCCCTGGACTTGAAGGACAAGACCAAGGTATGGGCAGGGCAGGCAGCAGGCCCAAAGGAGGCTCAGGGAAGGTACCTCATGGGCACAGAACAAACTTCACACAACATGGCGGATGCCCTGCATGGAATAAGGCACTGGGTTAGTCCTGAACGCGTGCCAGCCTTGTTGTCCTCAAGGTGTTTCTTACTGCTCGTGCCTCCTCAGGTTCTGTCTTCAGGCCTGTGAGGGATTTTTCATCTGCATTTACTCATTGTAGTTACGTGCGCAGTACAGGTAGTAAAGCAAGAGAGAGAGGCCAGCGCCTGCAGTCCTTACTGTGAGTTTGTTTCTTGCACAGATTGGTGGAAGATATGTAGACTTTTCAGTCCTGGTTTTCTTTACTATTTCCTCAATACTTATTTTAGAGACGGGGCCTTGCTGTATAGCTCAGGCTGACTTCAAATGTAGGACCCACCCGCATCAGCTTCTCAAGGACTGAGATCACAGGTGTGCACCACCACGCCTTGCTTTTGTTAGCTATTTTTGTTGGTATGTTTGATTTTTGAGACAAGGTGTCCCTTTATAGCCCTGACTGGGCTGCAACTTACTGAATACACTAGGTTGGCCTTAAACTTGCGGCAAGCCTCCTGTCTCAGCCTCTTAAGTATTGGGATTACAGGCTGTATGTCACCACCCCCAGCTTCATTAAGCTACTTCTATTTTTATTTTTTTGTCTTTTTGTTGGTTGTTTTTTGACAGGGTCTCTCTAGTCACAGCCCACCTGGAAGTCACAATGTGAACCAGGGTGGCCTCGATCTCACAGAGATCCTGGAAGTCACAGTGTGAACCAGGGTGGCCTCGATCTCACAGAGGTCCCCCTGCCTCTGCCTCCCGAGGGCTGGGATTAAAGGCGCATGCCGCCATGCTCAGCTTCTTTGTCTTTTTTTAGACAGTGCCTCCCTGTAGCCTCAACTGGCCTCACTAGGTAGACCAGGCTGGCCTTGAACTCACAGAGATCCGCATGCCTCTCCCTCCAGAGTGCTAGGATTAAGGGCATGTGCCATTATGCCCAGCTAAGGTATTTTTATTTAGGTAGAACAAATACAGATTTACTAATGAGAAGTGAGAAAGAACTGATGGGGGGGGCTCCACAGAAAGGGCTCCCTAAGATTTTTATTTTATTTCTATGGGTATTTTGTCTGCGTGTATGTAGTGCACCTGTGTCGTGCAGTGCCCACAGAACCAAAGAGGGAGTCAGATCCCTGGAATGGAGTTACAGATGGTTGTCGGCTGCCATGTGGGTGCTGGGAACTGAACCTGGGTCCTCTGCAAGAGCAGCCAGTGTTCTTAACTGCTGAGCCTTTTCTCTAGCCCCAAGATATTTTTAAAAGTAATTTTAGCCTGGCACAGTGCCATAGACTTGTAAACCCTAGAACTCATGAGGCAGGATTGTCCATTGTACACCCTCCAGCTCTGTACCATCCCTTGCCAGCAATGGTGTTATTAAAACAAAGCACTCCAGGCATGGTGCACACCTGTAGTCTCAGTACTTAGGAGGCTGAGGCAGGAGGATTATTATGAAATTTTTTTGTCTCTTTTTTTGAGACAGGGTCTCCCTGTAGCCTCAACTGGCCTGGAACTCACAATAGACCAGGCTAGCCTTGAACTCACAGAGATCCGCCCACCTCGCCTCCTGAGTGTTGGGATTAAAGGATCACTATGAATTTGAGGCAAGCCTGGACTGTTCCTATCTCAAAACCACCAAAAGTAAAAAAATTTAAAAAGCCAAATATACTTTGCCTATCTGATAGTTGAAAATCTAGGTTTTTCTTTTATTGCTGAAGTTGAACATTTTCATTCCATGGACTCTTCATGTTGGCATGTTTGACATTTGTGTATTTGCTTCTTTTTTTCTTTCTCTTTTTTTTTTTTTTTTTTGAGACAGGGTCTCCCAGCAGCCCCAGCTGGCCTGGAACTCACTATATAGATCAGACTGGCCTCCAACTCACAGAGATCTGCCTGTCTCTGCCTCCCGAGTGCTGGGATTAAAGTCATATGCCACCACGCCCGACT